AAAAAAAAAAAAAAAAATCAATAGAAAACTCCATTTGTATATTAAAGCTTACACAGGGCTGCAGGTCTTTCCTCTTTTCCCCTCCCCCCCACTCCTGGACAGGGGCTGCTCCAGCCAGGTGGGAGTGCCCCTCGTCTGTGGTGCCCCCCTGGGCAGGGAGCTGCTCCAGCAGGGACCAATAAGCCTCACCCTTAAAGGAAGCAGCTGGCGCAGTCACCTCCTGTTACTGCTTTGCTTTTAAAATCTGACCTGTTAAATGTGTATTTAATAAAACTGCTTTGGTGACAATAATGTTACCTTCTTTTAAAGCTTTTTGTATCCATCTTCTTTGGGGCATTCTTAAAAATCATTAGAGGGCAATATTTCATAGAACATCGCATGTTAGAACGAAGCGACCTTGAGAGATCGAGTCCAGTCACCTGCCCTCCTGGCAGGACCAAGCACCCTCTAGATAGATCATCCCTGCTGTCTATCCAACCTGCTCTTAAATATCTCCAGTGATGGAGATTCCACAGCCTCCCTAGGCAACTTACTCCAGTGTTTAACCACCCTGACAGAAATTTTTCCTAATGTCCAACCTAAACCTCCCTTAAGTTTAAGCCCATTGCTTCTTGTCCTGTCCTCAGAGGCCAAGGAGAACAGTTTTTCTCCCTTTTCCTTGTAACATCCTTTTAGATACTTGAAAATCACTATCATGTGCCCTCTCAGTCTTCTCTTTTCTAAACTAAACCATCCCAATTCCTTCAGCCTTGCCTCATAGCTCATGTTTTCTAGGCCTTTAATAATTTTTGTTGTTGTTCTCTGGACCTTCTCCAGTTTTCCCACATTTTTCTTGAAATGTGCCCAGAACTGGACTCCGTAATCAAAGTGAGGCCTAATCAGTGCCGAGTAGAGCAGAATGACTTCTTGTTTCTTGCTCACAACACTCTGGGTAGTGCATCCCAGAATCACGTTTGCTTTTTTTGCGAAAGTGTCACACTGTTGATTCATATAGTCCACTATGATCCCTAGATCCCTTTCTGCCGTACTGCTTCCTATACAGTCACTTCCCATTTAGGGTTGCCAAGTGTCCGGTATTCACCCGGACAGTCTGGCATTTTTGGCTCCTGTCCGGTAAAAAAAAAAAAAAATTCAGAGAATACCGGACACCTAAAACGTTTGGTATTTTCTGAATTTTTCCCTGGCCAGGAGGCGAAAATGCCAGGCAGCTGGCAACCCTACAAACACTCAGTGCCCG